GAATGGGATAGCTGTAGTGACGAGGGTATAGAAAGTAGCCGGTCGAGTTTCCCTTCTCACAAATGCCTGGCAAATGAGACATTTTGAAACTTTATCAATGCAATCTTGGATCATAGTTGGCCAGTAATACCCTTGAACCACTAGCTTTCTAGCTAGCATATGGGCTCCTTGGTGAGCTGCGCAAATTCCCCGATGAGCCTCCTCATTACAATATTGGTTTGATTTGGGAGTAAGTAGCGAAGCAAGGGTCCTCCAAAGGAACTCTTGTAGAGCTCGCCATTAAATATGACGAATGAGGGTGCACGCCTTTTGATTTTGTCAGCCTCTGCTTTGTCATCCAGCAACTCATTCTTTGTATCTCAAAATGTCATCAATCCAATACCACTCTGGTTGCTTGTCCGAATCGGGAAAATTGGGACTAGCGGTGGTAATTGGACAGACGAGGAGCGTTTCTGTACTCGGTCTTTCGACAACCTCCGTTCAACAGACTCTTGTTAGATGGTCGAGCAGCTCACCCAATGCTAGTTTTGACAATATGTATGTGTGACACCCCGTACTAATTATTCTATAATTAGTACTTGTAATCATTTTGATAAGGGATTTGTTCTTCAATTGAGCCCAATTTCTTAACATAAATAAATCCCTAGCCTATATAAATATACTAAAACCCAATTTCCTAAGACTAATATACTTTTGGACCTTAGCCTTAATTCTACTTTATAATGTATGCATATCTTCTAGCCCAACTTATTTAATATTAGACAAACATGTTATAAGAATTAAATAGCCCATTTACACCATATAATATCCATTCCTACAACTATAGTCTTGACCTAATATATATACACTACCTTGTATCTAATGCCTTATCCTAACAATCCCTACAAATAATATCCTTACACTTTGTCTTCTTCCCTACTCCACCATATTACTCTTTCACGCCATTTTCGCCTCAAAATACAAGAAAATAGCATTCATCTTCTACAAGCAAAACTCCACCAAGACTACTCTTTTATGCATCTTTCCAACAAAATAAAATAAAATAAGATCATCCTTCACCTTGCAATTCCCCTTCTCATTTCATAGTCTTTATTGCATGTTCTTATTCTTCCTACATTGGGGTTTTGGGATTCTTAGAGGTCCAAGATGGAGATAAGTTGCTAGGGTGATGCTTGGTGTTTGAGGATTGGTTGCTAAGCTTAAAAGGTAAATTTCATGTCCATTAAAACCTATTTCCAACTTATATAAATGTTCTCCTATTTCTTGGAAAATCCCTGAGTATATTCTTGATGTTGATCTTGAAATAATTTTTGCTCTTGAGTATATTTTGGTGTTGTTCTTGAGCTATGATGTCTATCTTCGATTCCCTATGATTTATTGACATTCTAGTATTGTAGAATGGATTTCTTGTTGAGTTGTAGCCCTTGTGTTGATGAAATAGCATTCTGTTGTGTTGAAATATTGCTTCAGATCACGTACTGTTTCTGCTATCATTTTGGCTATGCGGGCATGCCTCGCGGGCATGAGTTTCACGCGAGAGATACTCGCAAGGTCACTCGCAGGGATGTGTGGCGGGAATCTCTTTCCCATTACACTTACCTGTCGCCTTCATGCGGTATAACGTGGCGGGTGTTCTTTTCCCGGGGCGACTGACCGTCAGGTCCTGGGAGTTGATTCCTAGAATGTATTACTTTGGTTTCCAGTGCAATATTGGTCGATCTTTGGTGCATTGCGAGTCTTTCTTGGTATGTTGTGAACTCTTTGACCTCCGTTTGAGTTGTGATTCCTTCATGAATCATTGTTCATTGGTATCAATTTAGTCTTGAGTAACATGATGGTATATATATGCATTTTGTTGGCTATATTGTATTATTATTGTATACTTGGATTGGTGGAATTGGAGAGCTTCAGCTCCATTTGTATCGGGTGGCTAGGAGCTTTGCTCCATTTGTATTGGTGGCTAGGAGCTTTGACTCCATTTGTATTGGCAAGAAGCTTATGTTTCACTTTGATGGATAAGGTTGGACTGGTGTACATGGTGGTCTCTTTGTGTAAAGGTTGGATTGGAGTTTGGTTGGATATTGATTGATATTTGATATTGAGCATTTGACTATTGTTATATAAACTCCTTTGGCTATGTTATATACCACTGCATTCTACTGTCTTGTGACTTGAGTAATCTTGAACTTGAATTGAGTTGTCATTACTGAATGAGCCTAATGCCCCTAGAATTGAGCTTTATTGATTGAGTATCTGTCTTTGGAATCCTTCAGCTGAGTTTGTTGGTATGATATATATATATATATAGGGAAGAGTTCAGGTGCGGGTATAGCTTCCCGTGCGGTTAGATCTGAGTTGTTGATCAAATTTAGATCAACGGCTCAAATCAATAAAAATTAAAAAAAAAAACGCGTGTCGGGAAGAAGATAGCGCCTACACAGCGTCTACACAAATGATAGCGTCTGCACAACCTCACGCACATTAAGTACAAACCACACACACATTAAGCACAGCCTCACGCACATTAAGCACAAACCCCACGCACTTTAAATATTAACTCACAGATTTTAAGTTTCAACAACTATTGACCCTCACGCACATTAAGTACAAACCCACACACATTAAGCACAACCTCACGCACATTAAGCACAAACCCCACGCACTTTAATATATTAACTCACAGATTTTAAGTTTCAACATTAAGCACAACCTCACGCACATTAAGTACAAACCCCACACACATTAAGCACAACCTCACGCACATTAAGCACAAACCCTACGCACATTAAGCACAGATCCGCTCACCTTAATTTTGACCTACATGCATAAATTACAAAATTGCCACCGCGTTTTTTTTTTTTTTTTTTTTTTTTTTTTTTTTTTTTTTTTTATTTTGACAATTCTGAACGTTGATTTAAGCGAGATGAATGGTCCAGATTAAACCGCACAACCGCTCCTGGGCACTCTAACCGCACCAGAACCTAATTCTATATATATATATATATATATATATATATATATATATATATATATATATATATATATATATATATATATATATATGTATATAGTCATACCATTGCAAAACCTATTTTCATATAAAAGTATACTTATGTATCTTTACGTGTTGGAGTGGTTTTACTTAGCATCTCTCGCTAATTTTTCTAAAATGATTTCAGGTTGGCTTAGAGATGTTTCCCGAGAGAGCGCTATCTAGAATGGATGGTTTAGTTGATTGGAATAAAACCTAGATTGTTCTATAGTTAGTTCATTTGTACCTTGTAAACGGTTTGTATTTAGAACCTTTGTAAGCCTGTGCGTTTGGGTTTAGAGTAACCTAAGCGTGGCATAACACCCCATTGAGTTTAAAGTTTTGAATTCGCTTCCGCATTTTCTTTGGCTTTCTTATATCTAGAATTTGGGGGTGTTACAGTATGCCTCCGTGTTCTCAGCTCGGGGTATGTGCGCAATTTCGTAAGCGGCCAACTTCCTAGTAGTCCCTTAGCAACATCTTTATATAATCTTATATTCTCGCCTTTAGTGTGTTGCATGAGCCATACAATTGGCTGACTACAAGTCGTGAGTCAGTCTTTACCCGCACTTTTTTGGCATGGAGTGCTTGTGCTAGCCAAAGTCCTCCTATTATAGCCTTGTTGTTAGAGGTTCAAAATTTGTACTTTAACGTGTAATATAGAAGCCTTCTAGAGTGGTTAACATGACTCCTCATCCATAATGACGTGAGCTAGCTGCTCCATCCGCATGCAATTCCCGCCAATCCCCTTCTTCAGGGGTAATTGGCTAACCATCTTCAACTTCTTGAGCGATGCACTCAACTATGAAGTCTACTAAGGCTTGAGCTTAAATAAACAGTCGTGGGTGATACTCAATACCATATTGAGTGGGCTCTATGACCCATTTAACTAGTCGACAGAGGATGTCGGGCTTCTCAATATGCTGGCCAACGGTAGGGTCAGTTAGCACCTTGACCGGGTGAGCTTGAAAGTAGGGGACCAACTTTCTTATTGTTATAATCAATGCATACACCACTTTTTCAAGTGGGAAGTAGCGGACTTCAACACATTTCAAGGTTCGACCCACATAGTAGACTGGATGCTGGACTCAATCTTCTTCCTTGACTAATACTGATCCGACCACTTTCTGTGATGCGACCATATAAAGAAATAGACATCCCCCCTCCTTGGGTTTGGATAGATAAAGAAGTAGACATTCAATTCACTTTAATAATTTATCTATAAAATATATTTTCCTTTCCATAATTTGCAACTAACTCTCCATAAGTTGTCTTCAAGCTTATGTAATATATATATATTCCCCAAAGTTATAACATTCCCTTGTGGAAAATTAAGTATGATTGCCTTCCATGCCATTTTTTTATTGTGATAACATCCGAATCAAGCTTGATGGTCTTCATAAAAGCTGTAGCCCTTTGAGTTATCTTTCTATTGATTCAAGAATCACTTGATTTGGACAATCCGGTGCCGCTTGATTTGGACAATCCTGTGCCGAGCTTCATGCCATTTTGCTCCAATTCATTCTTCCTTAATTATATCTTCATAATTTTGATTGAGTGGGATATATAGGCTGGATCGCTATATATATTTTGGGCCTTTACCAAACATCTAGTCAAATTAAACTGGCAAATTAATCTGGGCCAGTTGTCCAGGCCCAAGTATCTCACCCAACATAGAGAATATTAAAGAATAATTTTTGTAAGGGAATACTGCATTACTCTTTTGTAAATAACAAAAAAACAGGGGGGCAAAATCATTAACATTTCAGTGAAGATATATATGCAGCAAATTTCCTACAATGGATTTAATTGAGAACAAAATAAGGAGCAACACTTTCACCTGTTTGTTTGTTTGTTTGTTTGTTTTTTTTTTTTTTTTTTTTTTTTTTTTTTTTTTTTTTTTTTTTTTTTTTTTTAACTAGAATTTCGAGAGAAATGGTTATAACCGCTGGGAACAATATTATCCTAGTAGTAGAAGTAGATAGTTCCATTGGTATTATTTGAGAATTGACACTTTGTACATGGTCCTAGGTATATGGTACATCATGCAATGGGTGACCTTTCTTGTTCCTTTCGATTATCCTCTGAGCAAGAGAAACTTGCTTACCTACCACAAATATGAACGCTTTTCCTTTTCCTCCAGCCCCTCTGGCTGTTCTCCCAACACGGCGCACATATTCGCTTGGATCACGAGGAAAATCAAACAGCACTACATGGTCCACTCCCGTGAAGTCTATACCTCTAGATGCTCTGCAAATTATTTTACAAAGTCGTTATTTCATGGTACATGAAAACAGCCCGCTAGTATGTTTTCCATGAAGACTGCTTGATATCTAGATTCACTACTGTACCTGTCGGTGCAAACCAAGAACATAGACACGTTCTTCGGCTGAGGGCTGCGGAACTCTTTCATACTAGCAAGCCTCATTTCTTGATCCAAAGCGGAATGAAATGGTAATACTCTAACATAGATTCCTTTCCTGTCAAAGCGCTTTAATGCATTTTCAACTTTTCTGCAGCTCTCAATCTGCATATAGCAATAGCAATAGCAAAGTGTAATTTTAACCTGGGTTCTGTCAACTACAAGAAACTTACTGAATATATCCCGAAACTTACCTTGTTACAGAAAACAATTGTCTTGGGGACAGGGCGTTCCTCCATCAACTGCAAAAGTGCATTTTTCTTGTTGAGGAATGCTGTATCTGGGGTTTTTTCTGATCCTTCTTCTCCACTACAATCTACAAGGACCTACAACATCCAATTCAGTTATTAATTCCAGTTTTCCTATTTCAGCTCTACCATTTTGATTTTTATACAACTGAGACCTTGCACATTTGACATTTTGAAATCAAACTTAGGGTGTGTTTGGTTGGCAGGTTTAGCACTCAGGTATGGGTATGGAAGTGATTGTTATTGTTTGGTTGACTGGTTTTTAAAACACTACTATGGGCTTGGAATACCCCATTAATGGAAAAACCCATTCCCTTATTTTATAAGGGTTTCATCCTATTATTCATCCTTAGCCTAATCATTCCTATTCCACCCTACTACCAAACATGCAAAATACTTTCACCAAAACCCATTACCATTGCCAAGTATTTGATACCCATTCCGATTTCGATTCCCATGTGCGAACCAAACACACCCTTATTCTTTTCATCCTTCATCAAATACTTTCTAGCTGATTCAGATTTGGTTCATTTGTCAGAGAGGTCACAATTGTTTTCAACTTTTTGATACAACAGACCATATCCAATGGTAGGGATATTTATTCTAAGATATGTTTCAGGATACTCACCAGAAAAAGCAACAAAGGTGAGCATAATGTTAATTACATAAAAGAATGAGAACATACCTCCTCTAAGCCAGTGCTTGTGCGATGCATACCAGGACCAGTTATAAGCTCACAGTCAGGGAAGTTTTCAACCAACTTGTTGTATATATCAACTGGTAAAGTTGCAGTCACAAATAGAAATTGTGCAGTGACAGGTGAAGAGTTAACAAGACATTGTAGTGCAGTCTCAAAATCTTCATCCTTACAAAGTATGTCTACCTCATCCAACACAGCACTGAACAACGATTAAACATTAAACCCCATCAATATGATATATTGCTTTTATATGGAAAAGAGAAAGAAGTCAAGAACCAGGTGGGTGGGTGGGTGGAAGTTTAAAAAGTCATCTAATAGTGGTGATAGATAATAGATTCATGATATGTATTGAGTAGGTCATGATCTGATCATGCAGACAAAACGACTAACTGATAAAATTTAAGAGATACCATATTACGAATTTTTTGTTTGAAATATAAAATATTATAAGGTAGCTTTCCTAATTATTATCAGTCATAAAAGCACAAATTCATGAGCAAATACCTCCCCACCCCACAACAGCAACAAAAGAAGAGCACTACCACCACCAACCAAAAAAACAAAAGGAGGGAAAAAATTTAGGGAATGTCAAAGAATTCATGAAACTATGAAATGTTCATGAAGACATACCAATTAAGGTTTGTTAAATGCAAGTGACCCTCTTTAACTAGAAACATGAATCGACCAGGTGTAGCTATCAGAACATCCAACTCCTGCCTAAGATTCTCCAGTTGGGTCCTCTGCCGAAACCCACCTGTTGCAACTACAGATCTAAATGGAACACCAGATTTTGAAAATGATCGGCAAACATTCAAAACCTGCAAAAGCGATACAAGTGAAGAAATAAATGAGCAGATTGATGAAATTAATATGATTAAACATTTTGGACCAGAGTGAAACTCATTTTAAACTTTTGTTTAGGACCAAAATGAAATTTACTCCAAGAATAAGCCAAACAAAAAACCCCACCTTACCTCAATAGCTTCAATGGCAATTTTCCATTTTATATTAGATAGCTTTCAAAATGCTTGAAGAAAGACTTCTGACTTCTAAAGTAATGGACTGCCTTGTCAAAAATGCAAATGAAGGATTTGTTTTCTACCCTCGCAGTTAGTAGTAAACTACACCTAATTATTCATACTTGTGATTCTACCATCACAGAGAAGAGTAAATGAGAAAATGGCTGCTTTCTTCATAATTGCTGAGGAAAAAGTAAGCCAGCTAAGAGAAGTTGAATGAAATGTACTTGAGTACCGAGGATGGTTATGGTTAATACAAATAGGGTTTAGATTGTCAAGAATAGGTTTTAACCTTGTTAGAGGAAATCCAAGATAGGAAACACCATTCTAGGGCAGTTACCTCTTTCTCCTCTTAGCCATTCACCATTCATAGCTAGTACTCTGTACCATCTCTGTTATTTCATAAGTAATATGACTATTCCCAATCTATAACAAGCCTGTCTTTATTCCATTTCCAATGTGGAGAAATTAAGCAACTATGTTAATAAAAGATGAAAGACCAGGAATAACAATATAAGGTACTCTATTGGATCCTTGAATAGAGAAAATAGGTATGAGAGTTCCCACCAAACATCTGGATTTGTTTGAAGCCTATTGATGAGTAATGTAATGTATATTCGTGAAACAAGTCAAACAACTATACAAAGCATATGCTGACCAGGGAACTGGGAAATGAATTAGACCTGAGAAGCCAACTCAGCAGTTGGTGTCAATACAATGACCCGAGGATTTTGTGACAATGGTTTACCAAGTCCTTGAAGCTCTTCTTCTCTAAGGCGTTGAATAAGTGGAAGAAGATATGCCAAAGTCTTTCCAGATCCACTTTGATCAGATATAATGCAGCTCTTTCCTTCAATAACACGTTCAAATGCCATTGCCTGCAATTACCTTTACCTTTAATGCTTATGGAAGGAGTTTATAGATGTTACTTAAAGATAACATTCATTAAGCCACAAGAAAAAGCTCCAAGTGACAGAACAATGATGCATGGGGTTTTAGATGGAACCAAAAAAGGAAAACAATAGTATATGTATTTGTAAGTATATAAATCGTACTAAACTTTTGAGAATGCTAGTCAAATCTGGCACACCCTAAACCATTGATCATCCACGATTCACTAGAATGGAATGAAACGAGAGTCATATTCTTTTATGAATATGGAAGGTGCACTTAGAGTCTTGTTTTAATCAGTGGTTGAGATTATACTATCTGGAGCAGTTTTAAAAGGGTGCAACCCATTCCATGTGAGCAATGGGATACCAAAATAAAATAAAATATCACCAACAGAACTGAGAAACATATGTCCACAATAAAAATGATCTTTGAATTCATTATTTGTGTAAACCATCATTTGTTAAATGTTTATTTGCAAAAATAAATAAATAAATAAATAAATAAATATGAAAGTTGCAGCACATGTGGTGGTGGTACAAATGATGCTAAAAGTATCCATTTGTCTACCTGAATATGTGAAGGGAATCCAAACATCTGCTTCCTTAAAGATTCAATCAAGTAGTCACTGCACCCCAAATCTTGAAATGATTTTTTACTGAAAAAATTATTACTGTCATTTAACATCCTCTTTTGCCTGTAAAAGTCATCTACCTTACCCCATCCTCCCACGTGATTAACAGAATCTTTTGAAGCAGAAAGGGTTTGTGTGATAGATTTAGTATCAGACTCCTTATTTTGAATGTGAAGCTGCCTAACATCATTTTCATTAGCTGTATCGGAGGAATCCTTGACCATCCTTCTCCTGAGTTTTTGCAGCAAAACTTCTGAATCCAGTGCTTGTACAGATCTTGAACTATCATCAAGAAGGTCAAATCTCTCTTGTTCTCCAAAATCATCAACTTCTGAAATGACAGATACCCTAGCATTTCGTTCACCATGATCACGAAAATCACCTTCTTGCTCTTTTGTATAGCTTTTCTTCACAAGAGCTTTCATTTTATGGAATTTCAATCTGCTAAAACTTCCCGCCAGAGTTTTGTTAGATGCTGCATAACCACAAAAAAGATATATGAATGATCAAACAAAGAATGCAGCAAAGCATTAGAAAATAGAAATACAATACTAAACAGAATCAGATTAACAGTTAAAAACTAAAACTTAAAAAAAAAAAAAAACACCAAATGTATTGGATCTTCTTCTCTATTTGTAATAGCACTCATTTTGGATGCATGAAAAGAAATATGGGAGGATATAAAAAATTTAAAGATTGAAAGGAAGTATCATCTGCAAGTAAACAACCTGCAATGTGATAAGATACTGATCACAGTATCAAATTAAGCCAAATAACAAATACTAATTTCAACATCAAATTAAGTCAAATACTAATTTTAACATCCTAATCTTGGTAGAATCCACATTTTATTTGGTAACAGCAACAAAGGGTGAGATTATTGCAAATTTATGAAGCATCATGTAGCAAGATGTAACAACCCTCTGCTATAAGAAGCAGTGCAGAAGGCTTGGGGTATTATAATGGCAGGATGATAAAAATGGATCCAAAATGTCTTTGCATGAAGGTTGGTCGGTAGTTGTAAGGTTGTTAGTTGTGGTGATTATGAAATTGCTGAATACAAGCCACCTGCAGAATTAGAAATGGATGCGCCTGGAATAGGAATTGGCTAGAGTCTGACCCTATAAATGGGAAGTTGTAATCAATAATTGGTTATGCAAAGTAATACATCCAAAATTTCTATCTTTCTCTACATTTATCTCTCTTCTTTATCTACTCAATTCTGCTTCTCTTCTTCTGCACTTCTACCTACTGCAACCCCTTGCTGTTATTTCAGTAGTGCAAATCAGCCTAGCAACACAACACAAGACAGTCTCCAAAACTGCTATGAATAAACATAAGCATAGCCAAACATCGAGTTTATTGAAATTCATTACAATTTGCTAATTGGCAGATATGACGAGAACTAATCGCAAGAATAGGAATACGAATTATACCTTTAACGTCGCCGCCAGTACGGCCCTTTGCACGGCTCTTGGATTTCCAGGCGGAGAGAAGTTCCTTCGAAGGGATAGCAGAGTCGTCATCGTCATTCTCGACTCCTCCCCAAACTATGACTTTCTCTCTTGTATCATTGTCGATAAGCTCGTAAGCGCCGGGGGTGTCCATGGGCCTACGAGTGTAAGAACCTTGAACCTCCACTGCCGCCGCCCTTCTCTTCCTCCTGCAACTAGTAAGGTTTACGACATTGCCGCTGCCAGCGAGGGGAATAGGTTGCAGTACCATGGCTCTCCGAAATGTGAAAGTATTTACTACATATGGTGGCGGAGCCACCGCGGCAGCCACCGCTGCGGCCTCGGCAAGCATCATCGTCTTATCAGTTCAAATCTCAGCTGGAGAGTACATTCGTTTGACAAAGTTCAATTCTTCAATTTTTACGCGAGACAGATAGGGATTAAAAATGTAATAGAATTATTTGTTTTTTCGTGGCAATTTCAAATTTAGATTGAGAGTCGTTTTTGTCATTTAACATTTTAAACTATTATTTTATAGATATTTTTAATTATTTTTATGACTTTTTCTATTTGTAGTATGGACATTTTTGTCTTTTCATATTTTTCTTTTGTTATTTTTTTTGGTTTCAACCGATTTAATTGGTTTAGAACTTTAGGTAACCACTGATTTTTAATAACCATATTTTTCAATCCGTTTTTAGTAAAGTCCTAAACCAATTAAACCTCTTGAAATCAGAAAAATAAAAAAAAAAATATTAAGAGACAAAAATACTCTTACTAAAAATAGGAAAAGTCATGAGAAGTACTAAAAGTGTCTAAAAAATAATAGTCTGGAATGTTAAATGACAAAAACGATAGTCTAAGACTAAATTTGGAATTGCCACCAAAGACAATGGACCTATGGTGGAATTAGTTCTACTTTTAATCAAAATGTAAGATGGTAGGAGTATTACCTTAGAATTCATCAAGGCATCTCCAACCAAGGAGAAAGGGGAATAAAGCTATTGGTGGGGAGAGGATATTTTTCTCGGGGAGAGACTTGTCTCGGGAGAAAAAGGACATATGCCACGCGCCAATTATGTGTTGCGTGGCACGTGTACGCGCAAATGGTGCAGGATATCCAATCCCATCTGCTTTAAAAATATTGTTTGGAACCAAAATCAAGCCAACGACTTGATTTCTAATAGAGTGAATTAGACCGGGGGTCACGACTACACTAAGAATACGTATATGATGAGCAAGAAAATGGCGCTCAGTTAGTCGGTCTGTTAGGTGGACGACTGAGTGGACTAAGGCTTTATTGTGTTATTAGTAGAAGACGATATGATTACAAGCACTGTAATGTTACAATGTAGTGAATATCACAAGTGGTATGATATTGCAATGTAATGAGTATCACAAGTGGTGTGATGCTGTAATGTGATGAATATATGACAATTGAGGGGAAGACCCCCCCCCCCCCCCCCCCCCCCAAATTTATACTAAGCAAGTTGGCTAAGCATGAAATGCTCTATATGGCAGTGGCTTGACATGGCGCGCTCTCATTGGTCTGGTCAGTCGGGCGCTCTATAGCTACGCGTAGGTTGATTATCCTAGGCAAACTCTCTATGATCTGGTCAGTTGGTAGCTCAATGGTAGGGACAAGTGACAAATGAACTTTGATCAAATAGTCGACCGGACAAACTCTCTACCGGTAGCCGACCGACTGCTCTTCTCGCGCTGCTACCCTACAGTGCTTCAAGACTTCAACCTTGAGCGGTTCCGGTTGTCTTTGGAACCCAATCAGGACCTAAGACTTTTTTGAATTCGGTCAAAAACACTTCTTTGTTGAGTGATGTCAGGTTGATGGTTATCTTCTCATCCTTTTAGATTGGGCCTTCGTGACCAGTCTACCACTTTTATTTCCTCTGGGTTGTGATTTTGCAGTTGCAAGGGCGGTTGTTGGACATGTTGTGCGGCTCGTTGTTGTTACTCCGCAATTGGGATTTGAGGAGTAGACGCTACAAAGTAGTACTCGGGAGTCCCGAGCCATGGTTGATACGTCTGGGCAAATCCTTGTGGTGGATACGGCACATCTTGCTATGGAACCCCATGCTGATATTGCACTGCGGTCACTCTTGACCCTCACGGTGTTAAGGATTACATGGTATATGATAAGTGCTAAAGATGCTTTGTTTCGTAGAGCGTTTTGGTACCTGTTAGTGCCTTATTTGAGTCATTTTGAGTTGATTTGTGGATTTAATTGCCTTATTTTGGTGAAGTTGCATATGAGGACTAATTATGGGGCAATTGTGCATTTTTAGGGAGTTTGAGTGGTTGCAAGGGCATTTGGAGGCAAGAAAGGGGTTGTAACACCCCCAAATCTAGGCATAATTTTAAGCATTTAAAACTTAAGAGAGATAGATAGATAATGCCTAAATCTGAAATAAACAGCGAAAGCAATAAAACCAATGTTGCAAAACACGTTAGGCGCCCCCCCCTAGGCGCCGATTTTTTATTTTATTTTTTTAATTAAAAAAATTAAAAATTAAAAATTATCAAAATTCACTAATAAAACATAAGGTTTCCTTAGTTATTTCTTACAAATTATTTACGTAAGTGGTTGTAAAATTGTTCAAAAGATTGTTTAAACCATCTAAATACATAAAAAACTAAAATTAAGAGCTAAAGAAGCATTTTTTTGAGAAATTAGTGGTCCATTATTTTGATCGTGTTGTTCTTCAATTTGAGCGACCTGTTCGTAGGGCTCTTCCAGCATTCTAAGGTTGGACATCTAAACATCTAAAGGATCGAGAAATGAAAGAGCTTTCGGCTGGTGGTCTTGGATAGGGCAGAATTGAGCCTCGTTATGTACCTCCTCCAGTTGAGTTGGTACTAGTAGCTGGCGATGTTCAACGACCATCCCCAACCGCTCCAGAGGTTCAAGCACAATGTCAAGCATCTCCTCAAGTTCAATCTCAGGTCCAATTTGGGCCAGTTGATGAGCTGCAGGTGTGTTCTTCATTCTTTAAGTTTTAATTTTATTAAAAACACCTTAAGTTTTAAAAGCATGCACCTTAAGTTTTATCAGCACGCACCTTAAGTTTTATTAGCACGCACTTAAGTTTTATTATCACGCACCTTAAACTTTATTAGCATGCACCTTAAGTTTTATTAGCACGCACCTTAAGCTCCAAAACCACTCACAGTCTAATATATTTTAAATTTGATTAGAAAACAGACATACATTTCTGAGTTTATAGAGAGTTTGTAATCGTTTGGTAGAAACATGCTAAAGATCATTGATTTGGCCAAAAAAAAAAAAAAAACTCCATCAATGATTGAAGACAATGAGCATATGAAGACCTTCCAGTCTATGGCTCACAAGATGCTTGGTGCTAAGAAAGAGGCGTTGCAACCATCTCTTTCATAGGAAGATGTTGAAGCAAGAGCAGCCAAGACTCATTCTGGGGAAAACTAGACACTCTTGCTGCCATTAACCTTGCTATACAAAGGAGGCAAGAATATATCATGGATGTGTCTGATATTCCACGTTTCAACCTTGGATTGACCCCCACTCCACCAGAAGCTGCTCATTGGGATGACGTTGCAAACATTGCTGCTCATTACACTCCTAAGAATGATGACCAACAGGCTGCTAGACGGGCTCATGAAGAAGTTGATCGACAAGTTGCTGCGAAGAAGAATGAGAAAGGCAAAGTTGTTGCTGAAGAACACGAAGTTTCTGTTCCAGAAGTTGTAGTACCTACCCAAATGCAACAGCAGATTGAAAGTAGTAGGACTACAGAACTTGAAGTAGTTGCCCATGCCCTTGTTCAGGTGTATTTTGAAGCTATAGCACAACAACATCCTGAAATGTGGAAGGTAGTAGAAGCAGCAACAGCCTGCCATGGTGCAACAACTTGATGACTCAAGCACAGCAGCTGCAGCCACACTACAAAAGCAACCTTCTGACTCGAGGAAGGACACTGGAGCCGCAGTGCATAAAAGATATGAGTCCAGAAAGGCTTCAAAAGCTCAAGCATCACCCCTTCAAGTGCAATGACAAAAAGAAGTGACACAGAGATCAATAAAAATTTCAGATCCAAAGAAATCTCCGTTTGTATCAAGACAAGTGAGTCTATTTCAAGTATTCACAGCCGCTAAGAAGGGTTTTAAGCGTTAGATTTTTGAAACTAAGGATCCGAATGTGTAAGTTTGACTTAAAGTGCTTATTTGTTTTATGTTAACTGTACTTGTTAAGTGCACATTTTATTACTTTATCTTACACATTTAACTGAATATTTGTAGGATTGTCAATGTTTTTAAATTTGGGGAGAAATTGGTAGAACATAGCCGGTCTTCCACTATGATAAATTTCCTCCTTTCGGCCAACTCGGGGGAAGATCCTATGATATCCACGCCCCACCGGACGAACGCGATAACCGTACTAACTGGCTGGTATAACGTAGCCAGGCTTCTAGGCACCTAGGCGAACACCTGTCATGCCTCGCATTCCCAGGCCAGCTTCTGACAATCTAACTATATGGATGGCCAGTAATAACCTATTAGCATGATTCTCCAGGCAAGGGCTCTCCCTCCTTGTTAAGCCGAGCAAATTCCGAAATAGAGCTTGGTCATGACCAGGTCAGCTTCAAAATAGTTAAGGCACCTCATTAACGGGCCACCATACGACCGCCGGGTACAGCCGGCTATCTACGAACCAGAATCTTAGAGCCCGAAGTTTGACCTTGCGGGCCCTTTTTTCGTCTTCGGGCAATTGGCCGCTCTCTAGGTATCTCACAATGTCTGTGATCCAATTCTCTTCTTCTTCTCCGATTGGCTCGACCGATGGTACATCTATGCTAGCGCTTGAAACCTCCTCAACCCGAGCTATCTTTGAGATATGATTGGGAGCTTCCTGAATGAGCTTGGACAGGATGTTGGCATCCACATTTTTTTATCAGGGAACATGTTCGACTATATGCCCTTGGAAAACCACAAGTTTAGCGAGCGTTTGATCTCGGTACTGGACTAATCGTTCGTTATTCGTCTCAGAGCCACCCAACACCTAATCGGCAACTAATGCCGAATCCGTCTGTATTTTGACACATTTGGCCCGAAGGTCTTTGACATAACGGAAATCGGAGATAAATTCCTCATACTTGGCCTCAATATTCGTTGGTGAAAACTGATAGATCAGAGCATAATAAAGCTTGAATCCTTCTGGGCTGGTGATGACAATGCCCCCGCCAGACCCTCTCTTGCTACTGGATCCGTCGGTGGCGACCTCCCACCAAGGCCCGTTCGGATCGGCTTGTTCTACCTGTTCAATATCCCTCAATGTACACTCGACCATGAAATCTGCCAAGGCCTATCATTTTATTGCCAGTCGTGGCTTGTACTCGATCGTGAACTGGGTGAGCATCATGGCCCATT